GGGTCCGGGGCCGGGAGGGGGGCATAGAGTTTCCCTGGTGTTGGCCAGAGTGGCCACCAGGGAAACCTGGGGAGGGCTAGCCTCCCACTAGTTCGAATTAAGGGGCTACACACCCCTTAATTCAAACTAGCTAGTTCGAACTAGGCTTAATCCTCGTAAAATGAGGTTTTCCTAGTTCGAACTAAGCACTCCGCTAGTTCAAATTAAATTCTAACTAGCGGAGCGCTAGTGTAGCGCCTATCAAAGTTAGTTCGAACTAACGTCCATTAGTTCAAACTAACTTTGTAGTGTAGACATACCCTATCAGAGGCTACTCCGCTAGTTCAAATTAAATTCTAACTAGCGGAGCGCTAGTGTAGCGCCTATCAAAGTTAGTTCGAACTAACGTCCATTAGTTCAAACTAACTTTGTAGTGTAGACATACCCTATCAGAGGCTGCAACACTGGAGCAGGAGTCAGCAGCTTTGCATATCCAGTGTTTGTGAGGAGATGGCTTAAAAGACAGCTCCTCACTGCACCGGCTCCCGCTCCGCCCACCCCACCCCCCCTGCTGCTTCTGACATGGGTCCTCTGAGGAAGCCCCCTATTTCAAAATATAACAGGTTCGCTATTCCAACGTCTCTGTAAACCTCATTCCATTAGGAGAAAGGGACATTCTGGAATAGCTCTATTTCAAAATTTGGTGCTGTGTAGATAGCACCAAGTTTTGAAATAAACTATTTCAAAATTAACTCAAAATAAACTATGAAATTTGTGAGCCCAAATTACATAGCTTACGGATACAGTGTAGACATGCTCTAGCTGACTAGCTCCCAATCTAAATTTTTTTTTAATTGAAATGAATAAACATTTGGTCATGACTTCAAACTAACAGCTTTAGCCCCTTACTCTTTAGAAACACTTCAGTGAAGGAAACAAGGGAACTAATGCTCTGTTATTTTTTTCTTACCAGCTCTGGGTCACACATCAGGAAAATATTTAACAGGGTTTCTCTAACGATTCTAAAGATGTTGAAACCACTGAACAAATATTGACCAAGAGGCACCAGCACTTACCTGCACAGGAGAAAAAATAATATTTTTATATAACTAAAGACAGTTTTCCAAGAAAAAATGGGAGGAACTCTGCCTCATAATTTTTGGGTGGAAAGGGGCCAGAGTGGTGTGTGTGCAACATTAGCACAATCACAGTCATCATGTGCATCCCCACCTGCCTTATGCGAGGAAAGGACTGAGCTGAGGGGTGCTCTTTTGCCTCCTTCAAAGGCAGGACCAAGAGATGCCCTGCAGCTGCTGTGTGGAAGCGCCTGCTCCTGCTGTGTGGAAGCTGTCCCCAGGGAGCAGACCTCGGGTCTCAGACACCAACAACGGCGGGATGTCACGATGCTGCCGGCATTAGAAGGACAGAAATTGGAGAAGAACAATGAGGCCACCGCCTGTAACTCCTTGGCCAAGTGGGACTTTGGAGCGGCAGAGCGGGAAATGCTCTCGTAGTTCAATGAGCAGCAGATGCAATCTGTGTGGAAGCTGTCCCCAGGGAGCAGACCTCGGGTCTCAGACACCAACAACGGCGGGATGTCACGATGCTGCCGGCATTAGAAGGACAGAAATTGGAGAAGAACAATGAGGCCACCGCCTGTAACTCCTTGGCCAAGTGGGACTTTGGAGCGGCAGAGCGGGAAATGCTCTCGTAGTTCAATGAGCAGCAGATGCAATCGGCTTTTCCCCCCCCCCCTTCCCCCACGCGACGGCCCGTCCG